CTTGATTTTACGTTGTCTTTCATCTTCCCTGGGACATTCAGTATAGTGTTCACAATGTTATCAAAAAAGTTCTTCTCTATATGCATCACATCGAGGTTGTGGCGCAAAAGAAGATCTTTCCAATATGGCAATTCCCACAATATACTCTTTTTGTGCCAATTGTACTGAACACCATAAGAATCAGGCATATTACTGGGAACATGCCAATTCCCACCACGAGAAGCTGTTTCTAGAGCACAGTAGTAATCGATTTACGCTTCGATTTGTTCTCCAGTTAAATATGGAGGAGGAGTGTCTCTGACAACCCTTTTGTGTCTGAAAAATTTCTTGTTTCTTCGGTATGGGTGGTAAACGAGAAGAAATCGACGGTGACAATCGAACCAACTAGTCTTCCTACCATGATTTAACTGAAACGCATCTGTCATTCCATTACAACATGGACAAGCTAATCTCCCATGTGTAGTCCACCCAAACAACATCCCATATGCAGGAAACTCACTTATGGTCCACAAAAGCATCGCTCGCATCGTAAAATTTGTTCTCGTTGAACAATCATATGTCCTCACCCCTGTTGACCACAAATCTTTCAACTCTTTTATCAGTGGTTGTAGAAAAACGTCGAGAGATCTTTTTTGATGTTTTGGACCAGGTATTAATATGGTCATGAATAGAAACTCTCGTCGCATGCACATCTCCGGTGGCAGGTTATACGGTGTCAGAAAGACCGGCCATAATGAATATTGTCTCCCAGACAGTCCAAATGGACTAAATCCATCAGTGCATAACAAGATACACATTCCGGCTATTGCTAGCGAAATGTGGATGTACATTGTTAAAATGTTTCCAGGCTCTTGCATCTGATGGATGAGTCATCTCTCCATCCGTCTGAGTATGCTTGGCGTGCCATCTCATCCCTCCAGCAGTCTCCTCAGATTGGTACAATCTTTTCAATCTGTCTGTGATTGGTAGGTACCACATCCTTTGGTACGGTACCCTATTGTGCCCTCGACCTTGCGGTTTGAATCGTGGCTTCTTACAAAATTGACATTCTTCTAACTTCTCATCATCTCCCCAGTAAATCATGCAGTTGTCGATGCAAACGTCTATCATCTCCGAGGGCAACCCAAGACTATATACCAATTTCTGAATCTGATAATAAGATTTAGCAGACACATTGTCTTCTGGCAAATACTCTTTAAACAAGTCTGCCTATGCATCTATACAATTTTCAGGTAGATTGTGATCGGTTTTAATACTCATCATTCTAGCAGCCAACGACAATTTAGACAGACCTTCTCTACAACCACTGTAAATTGACTCATTCGCAGCTTCTAACATTTCATAAAACTTTTTTGCATCTAAGTTAGGTTCTTCAACTTCATCATCATCATGAGTTACAAATGCATCACCTACCATATCATGAACCATATCACAGTCTACCATTTGTTCCTCTTGGTGATGATAGCTATTTTCATTACGCAAATGATCAACCAATTCAACCTGAAAATTGCTATTACTACTGCTACCTTCATTCCTACAACTAGCATCGTCTTCTCCATGTTGATATCAAATATAATAATATGGCATGAAACCTCTATTTATTAAATGCTTCCAAAAATTTTCACGAGGGCCTAATTTTGTATTGCAGCATTTCCGACAAGGACAAAACATCTTACCACTTTCCTGCGTGAGTGGTGTAGAATCTGCTTGATGCATAAACGTCTCCAACCCTTCGATAAATTCTTTCGTCACCCTCCCGTTATTATCTATGTGTGAATACATCCACTTCCGCAACTCGAAAATATTTCCTGGACCGGACATTTTTTTTTGTGTTTGATCAAGCTTATAGCTGATTTTTTTTTGTGTGTTTCAAATGAATCACAAATTGTGGTATTTATAGAAATTTTCGAATCTGAGCATTTACTAGAAAATTGCTAGGAAACGTAGGTACAAAACACGTTTTTGATTTAAATTTGATATTTTCTATCTAGTCCCTCCTAATTTCGTAGTAACAAATCCATTCCTCTTAGTTTCGTAGTAAGGTTGTACTAGGACTTTACGAGGAAAGTGTCTTACTATGGACTTACGAGGAAATGGACTTTTGCCACGTAATTTCCTCGTAAGCTTACTACGGTGTTACGAGGAAAACTGTTTCTCGTAGCTGTACGAGGACCTTACGAGGAAACAAGTTTTCTTCGTAAAACCGAAGTAAATTTATGAGGAATTATTTTCCTAGTAAAATTTCCTTATAATTTCTTAGTTTTCTTGTAGTGTCAACAGAATCTGACTCCAGATCTATGGGATATCACGGCTTAAAACATGAACTCTTTTTGGTTTAAGAAAAGAAAGAAGACTAGTAGTATGTCCATGATCAGCTCCATTCTCGTGAATAATCTAGAACGCCTTTACTATTATTATAACAAACGAAAAATTTATCTAGTAATATAAACTTTTACTAGATTTTTGATCCGCGCTTAAAAAACACGGATACCATTTTTGTTCTTTAATCTACATATAGATCGATAAATCTTTTACTTTGATGATATAAAATCTCAATATCTAATATAATTTTAAAATTAATACAGATTTTAATTTCTTGTTATCATCAATATATATATGTAAATGTATTCTATGTAATTTTGTAGTTTTACTATGAGAAAATAATATCTATTAACTACGCTGGTGCTGGGAAGCGGGTCAAACTTGCCTTGCCTGACCAGCCTGACCTGCTAAGAAAATATATTTTATCTGCATCCGTCCCACTTAATTTTATGGGTAATCCGCGGAATCCGCAGATAATTATCAAATAATAAAATAATTCTTTTTTATTAAATAGTATGTTTTTAATTTTAAATATTTAAAATATACTAATTATTTTAACGATTTTAGTATATTTTTGAAAAATAAACTCTTTATAAAAAATTATATTTTTCTATTTTTGCGGATTACCGGGTATCAGCAATTGAATTGAGAATAATCCGCACCCGTTCCACGTCAAATACACTTGACCCAAACCCACAACTTAATTTTTTTAAATCGATCGACCCGTTCCGTGGCAGGGCAAAGGGGGCGAGACTCGCATACTAATATCAAAATTCACATCTCTAACTACGCCAATTAAGTTTGATGTATTTATTTTTAAAGAAATTTCAGAAATAATTAAAAAGTGAATTGAGCCCATTAATTAAACTCAATAGTATATAGTTTTTAGGTCCAAAAAGAAAAAAAAGAAAATTGTCATTAATAAAAAAATAAATTTATTCATAAGATTAAGGATAAATTTGGAAAAAATAAATCATTCATTAAAAAGAATGTGTATGTTTTAATAGTATTGATATCAACTAATAGAAGTTTATAAGGGTAATGAAATCAAAAATATATACTGAATAACAAAATGATTATTTGTGGAATAAAACATCAAATGAAAAATAAAATAGAAAAAAATTATTGAATATTTTGTGAATTATATTTTTAATATCCAAATTATCCATTTTCAACACTTGCATGAACCGTCCTTTGGAGGGAGTGTGGAGGGGAGGTTGCATGCTTTTGTCTGTTGATCTCGAAAAGGCCAAAATAAATAAACAAGAAAATAATGGGAAAAATAACAAAATAACCTTCAACTTTTGAAAATAAGCCAAAAAAATCTTTAACTCATAAACAAGCCATTTTAATCTTCAACTTCTAGTTAAACATGAATAAATCTCATATTTTCGTTGACCAAGCCATTTTAATCTCGTCAAAATTCAACCGTTTAGTTTCGTTAGTTATATTTAACGGTTGACTTTTAATGAGTCTAAAATGGCTTGGTCAACGAATGTATGAGATTTTTTATTTTTATTTAAAAATTGAAGATTAAAATTGTTCACTTAAAAATATCTTAACTAAAAATTACTATTTTGTTTTTATTTTTTTCAACAAAAATTGTAGTTTATCATATCGATTAGAATGACAAACTTAATAAAATATGTTCAAATAAGCTTAGTTATAATATTTCTAAACGAATTAAAAAGAAAAAATTGTTTAGTAAAAAACTTGATTAAAAACACAAGTATACTGTAAATTCAGATATAAAATAAAATAATTAAGTGCTTATGTTCAAAAAAATTTAAGAATAAAAACAAAAAAGTTAAAGGTAAAACCCTAAACACATTGTTGTTAAATGTATAATCACATATACTCAATAGAGGAAGAAACAAGTGAAAATGAGGAAGTCAAGTGCGTGATAGGGTTTCCGACAGCTGATGTAAAGAATTTTTTTGTTTTTAATTCATTTTTAAATATTATATCTAAACGTATTTAAACATATTTTATTAAGTTAATGATTATAATCGATATGGAAAAATTATATTTTTTTCTGTCAGAAAAAAAAATTAGGATATTTTTAAGTAAACAATTTTAATCTTCAATTTTAAATTAGGATTAAAAAATCACATACTTTCGTTGATAAAGCCATTTTAGGCTCATTAAAGTCAACCGTTAAATATAACTAACGGAACTAAACTGTTAAATTTTGACGAGATTAAAATGGTTTGGTCAACGAAAGTATAAGATTTATTCGTGTTTGACTAGAAGTTAAAGATTAAAATGGCTTGCTTGTGAGTTGAAGATTTTTTTGGCTTATTTTCGAAAGTTAAAGGTTATTTTGTCAATTTCCCAAGAAAATAATACTAATAAACTGAAATATATCATTTAATAAGTCAACTACGGAGAAACAAGTTTAACAAAAAGAATCAATAAAACAATGATTACACAAGACCAGAAAACAATTGTGAAAATCTAATCTATATCCAATCCAAAAGTCATGTGATTAGCTTTTACAAAAATCACTATTTCTTTTTATCGGATTTTTTCTCTCTTCCCTTCTTGATGATTAAAGAGCTTATGTGATCAGTAATGATAATGATGTATATAGCAATTCCCATTATCCACCAGAAGGAACCAAGAAAAACAGAGTCTAGGGCAGAGAAAATGCGCTTCTTTTTTGCTGAGTATTGTGTCTAAGCATAGTACATGTACAAGCTATTTCCAGCGGCGCAAGCAATTGAGTTCTCATTTGGATGCCAAGCAAGATGCAGCAACTTTGTTTTGTAATCAAAAGCATTGCTATTCCCATCGACTCCATGACTCTCTGATCCTGCTTTTGACCATTCAGTGTAAAATTACAAATTTGATGCCGGTATCAATGTGCTTAAATGAGAAAAGAGAAAGAGAGACTGACCTCTACCTACAATACGCGCTATACTGCCTAGTCTAGATGGCCTCGAGGGAACTGGGACATGTCTCCTATAATAAACCACAAAACAAAAGAAGTTCCATTTCACTGAGAAGAAAGAGAAGATCAAATACACTTAACTCTGAATAGCTTTAAATCAAGTTTACCTCATCGGATTTCTGCTTGCTTCTAAGGTTGCAGTCTCAGTACTTCCCGGGGAAACACCAAAAACACGGAATAGATTGCTGGACAGAGCATGTGAGAGGAAGGAATGAGCATACATGGAACTGTAGTAATTTTCTAATAACAAAGAAACGGTGCTCTGCTTTCCGGGGCATACCTGTAAGAACCTGTAGCCGCTCGCAGTCCATTGCCACTTATACAACACTCGAACTTGTCAAAGATGGAATCATTTTCATATAAATCACAGAGCTGAAATTGGCCAAGGGAGAGGGAGTATCAATCAGCTACGTACCAGCTTGTCAAATGAATCTCTCTCTCAAAAGTATAGGGAACTTACCTTTGGTTTCAGATATTCATGAACCTGGAAAGTTGAGACCGGACCTGAATCCATGTTGATGTCCCATAACTGAAAAGAAAAAGCATAACCATAAGTTCAGTTAACCTTACGACAAGAATTCGAAACCAGCCACTGATAGATTTAAGGGCATATCATATCTAATGCCAATGAAAGTATAGACCTTAAGTGTCATGTAGTCACGGCTAAGGAGATATCTTCCTTCTTTCGCAAATTTGATGTCTGACACTGAAGCAATTATCTCAGTGAAGAACGATTTAGGACCTGCTGCCTCTGGTTCCTCAAACCTGCAGAAATGAGCAGTGTTAGCCTTTGCTGGTCGACACTTATCTCTTGTGTTGGTAAGGATGTTTCTTTTCCAAAGAAAGGTAACGAGAGATATTAGCAAACTTTGATGAAGTAGAGAAGTAGTTGGGGTAGTCCTCTCAAGACTTACAATTTGGAATGTGAATCACATAGAGCTGATTGGCGCAGATCAATCAGGCGAATTGAGCCTTTCGAACTGCTATAAGCTAACATATTGCAATGGGTAGGATGAAATTCTGTTGATGTGATAACCTCTGCTAGACAGAAAGCTGTATTAGTTACACAGAATATATCTCAAAATAGACCACCCTAAAATGTAGGGAACATATTGGCTTGAAAGAACAGTAAACCACGGCTTGCTTACCAGATAGATCTTCCATTTTCTCAGGCTTGACATCAACAATATTGAAACTTTGATTGCTAATATCCAGATTCCAAAGATTTATCCGCAAGTCATCAGCAGAAATAAATGTTTCGCCGTCACTGATTTAAAGAGCAAAAAAAAGTTTCGGAGCCTAACATTGACAATGAAAGTATGGATCTGAAGCTAATATGGATTGATAATCAAGAAGAACACTGAATTATCAGACGCCTTACAATGACATCTCTCACAGGGAAAAAGCAGTTATAGTAATTATAAATGGTTGATTATGAATAACCTACCTATTATTTGGGATCGAGTTGATATGATAATCATGAGCATGAGAATAGACTCTTCGACATCTAGCCACTGGGCTCGACTCATGGCTAGTTACCTATATATGTCAAAATGAACTATTAGTCTACAAATGAGAAAATACCAAGTAACTTTGTATGACTTTAGAATCAATTCCTATTCAAAGAGCATTGAAGATTAGAACTATGAAGCACAAGTCGAGCTGCAACTAGAATGTTTAATATATTTAGGAAGCCACATATAAAAAAGAAAAACATTGTTCAGAATACTACTACCACTGGCAACCGCAGCGATGAGATGGCTTCAGGAACTCCTCCGTTCCCACGGCATGCAGTTGTAATGCTTGAATTACTCGAGCTTGCAACCCCTTCAGGATCTGAATTTACTTCACAAATTTTCTTGATTTTCTTGTCTTGAACCTGTTAACACTCACATGAGTAATGCACATATCAAGAGGTTACTGATAGAAAAAAAAATGTATCCGAACAGAAACTCTTTACAACATTAAGGACATAGAACCATTTAGATACAGCAGCAAGCTAACAAAGCAATGCCAATTGCCATTAAAGTATCAGACTTATCGTTGGTACACCCTAAATATCCTGAAGCAAAGCACAAAAGTATACACCGAAACAAATAGTAAGTCATTGAGGAGGCCAACAAATAAATAAAGGATGTTGTCACCTTCCAATACTTGATGGTTTTATCGTTTGTGGAAAGGAGAAAAAGAGCGCCATTGGCTGTTTGACACCATCTAATTTTGTTTATCTTCTCCTCTATCTCCAAACTCTTGAGATAATCAAACTGGAAGACAAGGATGAAGCATGAAAAGACAAGAGTAAAAGGAACATACTGTAATCAGTAAAAGAGAGTAAATGATAATACCTCAGGGTCATGACTCTGAAACTCTGTTTTGTAACGGAACTCCGGGTGCCTCAGTGGATAATCAGTGTCTTCAAGATCCCTTCTAGCTCCTCCACTACTCTGTGATTGATATAGCATGCAACAACATATACCCTAATGTCAAATTCCCATGTTTTTTTTTTCAGATATCGTTTGCAACAAAGTGGAGACATTACATTTGTGACATGGGTTCTCTCGAAAAGAACAACGCGTCCTCCACGGTCACCAGTAGCAAGATGGTCGCCGGAATGATCAAACTCGATTGCTGAAATGACATCAACTGCAAAGAGGAAACACCAACTACACAAGCTCATCTACAAGAGCATAAACGTATTCAATCTAAGAATACCCAATATAGATTTAGGAAACCTAGTCCAAATTAGACAAGATTAGATCGAGAATGAATCGCAAAGACCTTCTTGAACTTCTTCACCAGCGCTGCGTTCACCGAAGACCTGAGAGAATCTCCACTCCAGAGGAAGAGATGAGTCTTCCGAAGCTGCGACCACCTCATCATCTTGACCCTTCATTCCCTCTCTCTCTCTCTCTGATTCACCCAAACACACTCCTCGGGATGTATACAAAGGCTGATCCGACGATCAGGAACTAGCCGGATCACGAGTGAAACCGATTGAGCTCGCCGCTTGTTTTCTTCTCTCACGGCAAACCGATGAGGAGAGTTATCAGATGATTCCCAGATTTCGACAAACAAATAAGATCACAACACAACACTGTGCCTTCTCTCTCTCTCAGAGTCAGAATTATTATTGGAAAATGTTTAATTTTTTTTTTTTTTTGTCATCGAAAGCTAATTTATTTTTTTTTGTTTGTTTTTGTTTTATTAGCTTTTTATGGAAGGAGTTCACCCTTTTTAAATACCTTTTAGTTAAGAAATCAGATTTATTTCCAAGCTTACACTTCTCTAAGAGCGTCTCCAAAAAAAAAAAACTCTATTTTGAAGTTTCACAAACTTTAAATTTTAAGTGTAAAGTATTCTTCTCCAAAAGAAAAACTTCAAAACTAACTTCAAAATTATTTGTATATTACATTATGGTCTTTATATTTTTCACAATTAATAAAAATGCAAAAAACTTTGATAAATAGCTAATACATATATAAAAATATTAATTAATAAAATTCTACATTAAAATATAAAACTAGAAATAGAAATACATAATTAAATATAAAACTACAAGCAAAATATCACATATTTCCAACTAACAAATTCTTGATTTTTTAAAAGAAAGTGCAACAAACAGGGATAAATATCATGAGATGATTGAATTATGAATGAAAAATAAAGAAAAAAAAAGCTTTAAAAGAAGTCAAAGAGGAAAATAAAATATTGCTAAAAAACTTAGCTTATATCGGTGATATTAATATTCGTGAGTACATTCGTCTGAACAAGAAAGAATCATACGGAAAAGAAGTCAAGAACAACAAGAACAACCTGTTGAGATGAAGCAATAAAATGGTTCACACAAAGATAGAGAATGCAAGGAGATGTCCTGGACAAGGAAAGATGTTTTTGGGTACATTCGTACAGTTTAGGGTTTGGTTGGTACATGTGTACGACTAGAGAAGCATGTTGGTTGGTACATGTGTACGGATGCATCTTGGCAACCTAACTTGGAGTCTAAGGCAAGAATGGGATCTGTCTAAGCTTAGGCAACTCGTGGGATCACTCCCAAAGACAAGAAAATGAGTTAAATAAAGGAGTGGACCGTTGGAGCTAGGTAACAAGAGAAGATCACATGTCTTGGTAAGGAAGAGAGAGGTGGGGGAGATGTCACTATTACACCATCTGTCTGAGCCTTTTGTCTTCTAGGAACCTCTTTGTTTATTGTTTTACCTTTGTCATCATGTGACCCTTGTAGGTCTTTATTAAGCATGTAACCAGAACCAAAATGAATCAAGGAAAACATATTCTTCCTTATACTCTCTTTGTCTCTCACTCTCTCTCTCTCTCTCAGATCCATCTTGTTTCTAATCAATCTCAATCTAAACTCTCTCTAAATCTCTATCCTAAATCTCTTAAACTCTCATGGTATCAGAGAGTGTATGCTCTTGAGACCTATTCTCTTTTATTCTCATCTTACTTCCGCAAATCTCTGATTTTTCATATCTATTTTTGGCAAAGTTCTTGGTGTTCTTGAGCTGTTCTTCCTCTACAGCTCCAGAAATTACCAAGAATGGAAACATTTTCTAAAAACCTTATTCCAGTCACTCTCAAAGGTGGGAACTATCTTCTATGGTCTAGGCTTGTTCAAACAGCCTTAGGAGGAAGAGGTCTCTGGTCTTATGTGACAGGAGACAAGTATTCTAAAGACATTGTCCAAGGAGAGGATGGTACTGAAGTGGTAGGAGGTGCGAATGGCAAATGGGCTCATAAGGATCTTATGACATTGTCAACCATCCAAAGCAGCCTGGAACCATCTATCTTGGAAGCTTACTCCCACTGTGAGAGCTCCAAAGAGTTGTGGAATACTCTTAAAAAGGTCTATGGTAATCTCTCTAACCTAAGCCGGGTGTTTGAAGTAAAGCTTGCTATCAACAACCTGAGACAAGATGGAGAAGAGTTCAATCAGCATCTTGGAAGGTTTAGGAGTCTCTGGTCAGAACTAAAGATGTTGAGACCAAGCTCTTGTGATCCGGAGGTCTTAAGAGAAAGAGAAGAGCAAGATGTTGTCTTTAGTCTCTTACTGACCTTAAACGCCTCATACAACCAGCTTATAAAGCATGTTATGAGGGAAGACAAGCTACCAAATCTAGATGATGTGTTTGCTCTAATCCAAAGGGAACAAACATCTCACGGTCTGTTTACAAGAAGAAGACAGTCACATTTCAAGAAAAGGTCAAAGAAGAAGGAAAGAATGATGTTGGTTCCTGGACACAAAAATACCAGGAAAAGACATGTCAAAAGAAACATCAGGATGGGTACTCTTAGGTCGGAGGCAAAAGAACTCACACAAGAGGGTGATTCTGTCCCTAAGATGGCACATGAAGGAACAACTATGTACTCAGCCTTCACAAGCGAATCTATGGAGGAGGTACTTGGAGAGAGCAGTGGCAGATGAGGATCTAATCAATGTGAAGGACATTCAGCCACTGATCAAAGCAGCAAAGGCAATTATTTATGCAAAGCGGTCTGGTATACACTCTCATACCTCTGATCCTATCATTATTGATTCCGGAGCTAGCCATCATATGATCAAGGATAGGAATCTCATTAGTGATATTAGACCATCCTTAGGAAATGTAAAAATTGCTAATGGAAATTTGGTAAAGATAGATGGAGTAGGGAACCTCAAGCTATTTGATAGACAGTCCAATGCCTTATATATGCCTAGTTTTGCATCTAACCTCTTGTCTGTGAAGAAAGTTACGGTTGACTTGGATTTTCAGGTGGTTTTTAGACCCAATGATGTTGAGTTTCAGGATCTTGAGACATGGAAAGTGATTGGTAAGGGAACCAGCAAGGGTGATCTATATCATCTCCAAAACACCAATGGATCAAGACTGCCGGATTCTCTTGTGTGTATGACCAGTGCATCACCTACTAGTGAGGGCACTATGTCGCATGGCCGGTTGGTTCACCCTCATGCTCGAGCTCTGAAGCTTATCTTACCTGGAGTCTCCCTCAACCACTTGGAGTGTGAATCATGCATCTTGGGAAAGCATTGCAAATCTGTCTTCCCAACATCAAAAACTGTCTATGAGAAGTGCTTCGACCTGGTACACTATAATGTCTGGACCTCTCCATGTGTATCCAGAGACAACCACAAGTATTTTGTCACCTTTATAGATGAGAAGTCGAAATACATATGGCTTACATTGCTACCATCTAAGGGCCGTGTTCTAGAAGCTTTTGTGAACTTCCAAGCTTATGTGGCTAATCATTTCAAGGCAAATGTGAAGATTCTGAGGTCAGATAGTGGTGGAGAGTACACAAGCCTTGCATTCAAGAGTTTCTTGGCAAAACATGACATAATTCACCAAATAATATGTCCATATACTCCTCAGCAAAATGGGGTGGCCGAGAGAAAGAATATGCATCTTATGGAGGTGGCTAGAAGTATGATGTTTCACATGAATGTACCAAAGAGATTCTAGGGAGATGCAGTGATGAAAGCTTGGTCATTGATCAACAAAATACCCACCAAAGTCTTGAAAGATCAGTCACCACATGAGTAACTAAACCATCTATAGATCATCTTCGGGTATTTGGGTGTTTGTGCTTTGTGTTGATTCCAGGAGAACAAAGAAACAAGCTTGAACCTAAGAGCACCTGGGCCATGTTCATTGACTATTCTCCTCACCAAAAGGGATACAAGTGTTATGTACCAGAAACAAGGAGGGTTTTAATCTCTAGAGATGTGAGGTTTGTTGAATCAAAAAGCTACTATGAAGAAAAGAGTTGGGATGAAGTAAAAGACCTGTCCCAATCTGCCTCAGGTAGAGGCGAGAACCTGAGAAGAGTTACGGAGAGCATTGCATCAGTATACCAAGGAGGAGTGTAGAAACTGAGCCAAGACCAAACCAATCAAGGTCCACAAATAATAGAGACCAAGAGGGTCCTATAAATGAAGTTGCCGAGGAAAATCTCCTTGATCCTGAGGGGGGGGGGAATCAAACTGAGCAACAACCAGAAATCTCAGCTTCTCATGATCAAGAAGAGCAACCAGAAGAACCAGTGGGTAGCAGAGATCAGGATGATGAGGCTACACCAACTGAAGAAACTGTCCAACCATTAAGGAGAAGCACTATGATCAAGCATCCTTCAACAATCATAAATTGGGTTAATACAAGAGTGTATTTCAACTCACAAGCCATGGCTCATCCTACTCAAGCTACATGCTCTCTAGCTCACTTTCCTATAGACCACCAAGCCTTCATGACCAGTGTGGACCAAGAGTTCATTCTGAGAACATATGAAGAAGCAATGGAGATAGATGAGTGGAGAGACTCTGTGGGAGATGAGATTGGAGCCATGATCAAGAATGGAACCTGGTTTGAAACAGAACTTCCCAAAGGCAAGAAGGCAGTGACAAGCATGCTCTTGTTCACCATAAAATACTTGGCCAATGGAAAGCCGGAGAGAAAGAAAACCAGGCTTGTGGCAAGAGGCTATACACAAATGTATGGAGAAGACTATCTTGAGACTCTGTGGGAGATGAGATTGGAGCCATGATCAAGAATGGAACCTGGTTTGAAACATAACTTCCCAAAGGCAAGAAGACAGTGACAAGCATGCTATTGTTCACCATAAAATACTTGGCCAATGGAAAGCCGGAGAGAAAGAAGACCAGGCTTGTGGCAAGAGGCTATACACAAGTGTATGGAGAAGACTATCTTGAGACATTTTCACCAATAGCCAAGCTTCACACCATCAGGATTCTTTTGTCTCTTTCCATGAATCTAGAATGGGATCTTTTGCAAATGGATGTCAAATATGCATTTCTACAAGGAGAGCTTGAAGATGAAGTGTATATGAGACCACCACCTGGTATGGAAAGCATGGTCAAACCTG